GGGGGATCTGGGTAGCCCAGATTCTTCCCTTCTTAAAATGGACTGCTTTTCCTCTCGTTCTACAAAAAAAGGGTGGAAATGTTGACATGGATACATCTGATGTGTTGACACAGCTCTTAGCAATAAGTCCTTCAAAAGGGCGATCTTTTCCTTCAGATTCTGCAACAACGTTCTGATTGTCACCGTAAGCTGAAAAGGAAAGAAGAGAGCCTAAGTATTCCAGCCCAAAGGGACACAGTCTACCCAGTAATAACGTGTACTTCGTGCTGGGATTTGAATCCTATGGTTCTACCCCAGGGGGTGGAAGGGCTGTTTAGTCTCCAACTGACCAGAAAGACTCCCAGGGTGAAAAGAATCTGGTCCCCTGACCCGATCACCCACCTAATTATTGTACCCATCCCATCATCTGACCCGGCGGTGCAGCAGCTCCCCCATGACTGCTGGAAACTGCAGCCTTCTGGCAGTCTGCCCTCATAACAAAGCGGCAGTCTGTCCCCTGAGTTTCTACCCTCTGATCCTATTTCTCTACCTCGGGGCCGGCAGGAAAAATCTCAGCTTCCTTCCCTACGACCATGGTCACTGCTCTGGTGTCAGTAATTGTCTGCCCTACGACCATGGTCACTGCTGTGGTATCAGTAATTTCCTGCCTTATGACCCTGGTCACTGCTCTGGTGTCAGTAATTGTCTGCCCTACGACCATGGTCACTGCTCTGGTATCAGTAAGTGCCGGCCACCATTGTCCTGGATCCCCAGTGCCCTCTGGCTGAGCTTCAAAGGATGAGGCTTCACGTTCCCAGTGGTTTTCCAGGCCAGTCTCTCTAAAGGTACGGGGGTATTTATATCCCGATGATACAATTCCAGTGCAAGGTGGTTTTTGTACAAGGGGAAGGTGAGTCACATTGACTTCTTCTTCCCGGAGGGTGAATCATTCTACAAGCTCAGAGGAGAAGTGTCCGTGACTGGAAATGTCACATTAAAGGGAGGGGAATGGGTGGGGAAGCCCCTCCAAAACATGGAAATAAGAAAACGTAAATGGTCTACTTAAATTAAAGGAGCCCTGGTGGTACAGTGGTTATGCATTCGGCTGTTAACTTCAAGGTCAGCAGTTCAAAACCACCAGCTGCTCCAAAGGAGAAAAATGAGGCTTTTGACTCCTGAATCCACCACAGATGAAATCAAAGATGTGGCAAGGCTTTAAAAAGACAGAATATCAAAACATACATAAGGGTCAGCAGACAGACCTGGAACTATCTATTGGTTTTGTTTGTTTTTCTCTTGTTCTGTTTTGTTTGTTTTATTGTTTTGTTTTCTGTTTTAATTTGCCTTTCTTTTTCTATTTCCCTATGTCTATCTACATAAGTTAAGAAGGATGAACAATCCTGAAGAGAAAATGACGGGCCTCGCAGTTGGGGGGGTGGGGGGGTGGCGGACATAGGAGTAGGGAGTGGGGAGCTAACAAACACAGAAATAAGGGAACAACAAGAGATCTAAAATTGATGGTAAGGAGAGCCTATAATGCTTGATCAAGAGCAATATATCCGAGAGGAAATACTGAGAGCTGATTGGAGGATGAGTATGATAGCGAGATAGAAGGTAGGTGAAAGGAAATAGAGGAAAGAACTAGGAGGCAAAAGCTATTTATAACGGCTATAGCTATAGGCATGTATATATGTAAATATATTAATTTATAATGAAAGGGATAGAGGCCAATGTAAACATATTTACCTGATAAAGTATTAAGATAGTAGATAAGACTTTCAGCCTCTACTAAAGGCCTCCCTTAACACAAGAACACTTTATTCTACTAACCTGGCACTCTTTGATACTCACCTTCCCGACACAATACTGAAGACAAAATGTGTGCATAAGCAAATGTGGTGAAGAGAGCAGATGGTGCCTAGCTATCAAAAGACATAGCATCTGGGGTCATAAAGGCTTGAAGTCAAACAAAGGGGCATCTAGCAGGGAAGCAGCCAAGCCCACATGGAAGAAGCACACCAGCCTGTGTCATCATGAGGTGTTGATGGAATCGAGCATCAGGTATCAAAAGATCCAAACTAAACAACTATATCAGTGCAAAAGAGAGGGGTTGGAGTGGAGACTCAAAGCCTATCAATAGACAATTGGATATCCCCCCACAGAAGGGCTATAAAGGGATGATTCACTCAAGGTGTAGTATAGCATTGACGAATTATTCATCGTGCCTTTAGTTCCTGAATTCTTCCCTCCCCCCACTCGCATGACCCAGTTCTCCCTTACAAATCTGGCTAGACCCAAGGACAGACATTGGTACGGATAAGAGCTCTCAGCACTCGGAATTCAGGACAGATAAACCCTCGGGAACAGTAACAAGAGTAGTGATACCATGAGGGTAGGAGCATGGTCAGGGAAGCGAAAGGTGAGAAAGGGGGGACCCATACAAGATTGGATATGTAGCCTTCCCCCCAACTGCAAGGGGATAAATAACAGGAATGTGGGTGAAGGGAGACAATGGGCAGTGTAAGATATGAAATAACAACAACAATATATAATTGACTAAGGATACACAAGAGTAGGAGGGTGGGGGAAGGAGGGGAAAAAAGAGAAGATTATATCAAGGGCTCAAGTAGAAAATGCTTTGGAAATGAAGATTGCAACATATGCACAAATGCGCTTGATACAATTGAGGTACGGAAATGGCATAAGAGCTGTAAGAGTCCCCAGTAAAATGATTCTTTTTTTTTAAATACTGAAAATTAAAACAATTGTTTAAATCTTTGAAAGATTAAAACAAAAAATAAAGTCCAGTATGAGAGTTCAAAAAGAGTGACAAATAATGAGATTTAAGAAGGTGACATCGGATTGTAACTATTCTAGTATTATTAATTTAATTTCTAGTCATTATGATAATGCCATGCATTTAGAATGCATTTAGGCTTTATGTAAAGGGAATTATTCCTTCTCTAAGTTAAAATTTTGAATTAATAAGCTATTAAAAATGTCACTAAAATGTGCCTTTATTATACTGCTGGCAGAATAACTGTTCCCTACTACTTTTTATAATTGAAATTTCAGCATTTATTTTTTGATCTTCCTTAGATTTTTAAAACTGTAATGTTTCTGTTTAAGAATTCTCCTTATGCTACATTAGTGCCATGTGTTTTGACAGCATAAAAATATGCAAATACAGCAGCCTTTTTAATGGTGGGGGGAAAAAGACAGAATATCAAAGGTTTACTTTTCTGTTTTATCAACAGTAACAATTCTACAATGACCATGGAAACAAGTGCTCCCTCCTGAGATCAGCAGGATCACATGAGAGCAAAAACAGCAGGCTATTCGCCATAGTAAACCGATGGGAACAAGCTCAATGCCCATTAGTGGGAGAAGGAGTAATCACTGGCCCATACACACGTGGCATACTGCACAATGTGTGTACCTCTGCAAATCAGCACAGGACATGGCTGAACCAGGAGGACATTCTGGGGTGAAAATAGCCAATCACAAAAAGGGTAGTTATTGCACGAGACTACTACTGTGAATAGTCAAGAAAAGATTTTCACACTAAAAGAAATATTCTTTGATGTTAGCAAGGGCTAGGCATACACTGTGAACCAGAGGGGGCAGGGGGGGATAAGGCACCATAAGAGAGGGATGGAGGGGGGAGTGGGAAAGAAGGGAAAAAAACGAGGACCTGATGCCAAGGGCTTAGGTGGAGAGCAAATGTTTTAAGAATGATGAGGGAAACGAATGTACAAATGTGCTTTACACAATTGATATATATATGGATTGTGATAAGAGTTGTATGAGCCCCTAATAAAACGATTAAAAAAAATAATAACCAAAAAAAAGAGAGAGAGAGGGATGGAGGCAGGGAAAGATGGTGGAGGGGTATAAGAGCTAAATGCAACAGCAGTAAGTGTGGTTAGGTGGTAAACTGAGGACTGAATGAAATGTAATGCTGCTAAATCTTTTGTGCTCATAATTATGGGTTTACAAAACCGACTCTGGTGGGGGAAGACCCTCACTGTTATGAGATATAAATAATTTTAATACACACTCGCATGACTGAACACAGTTCCTCCAATAAGCCCCATAAAAGAACTGTCACCAGAAGTTGGAAAAAGATAACAAACTCCCAAACTCATTGAAGGCAGCATCACACTGATACCCAAACTAGGAAAAGACCCCTCAAAGACTGAAAATTATTGTAAATCTTTGCCAAAGAAGTCTCATTTTTCTCCCAATAAGTGGCCGGAGGGTTTGAACTGTTGCCAATGGGCAACCCAATATGCATAGGGCTCTACTTTAAAAAAGAAAAGGAGATAAAATAAAAACACACACCTGTCCAAACACACACTCAAACTTATTTTTGCAAAAAGTAAAACCCCAGCAAGAATATGCCAGAAACTAATGAAAACAGTTATGTACAGAGCGTAAGTAAAGAAGGGGTAGGACAGAGAGAGATGGAATAAGACTTTGAGCGTACCTTTTTATACAATGTCGGCTCTTGAACAATATCATATATTTTACCTTAAATCAAGAAGGTTGGAGGGGAAAACTAATCCTAAAAATGAACACAGACAGAAACAAATGATATGCGTATCAATCACACAGGGAGGGAAGAATCAATTCTAATAATTTGAACCGAATAAGCTGGATGAGGCTTCTTGTGGCTCAAAAAAGAGACTAATTCCAAAACTATTCTCTGAAAATTGTAAGACAGATCAGCTGAGTAATACTATTGTGAATAACCCACTGTTTTTTTCTTTCATGTGACCCGGCTGAAGCTTTCAGAAATCGGCGTGCTCTCTGAAGAAGGAAAACACAAGCATGGGACGGGGAGATAAAGAAGAACCCTGGGGCACTGGCACTGATACCGACGGCATCAGTACAAACTCCCGAGTTTCCAAAAATCTCTTGCCCAGCCAAAATCTACTGCTGTTTTCGGAAAGCCCGAGAGCTCAGGGTGGGCTTTACCTGTTTAATGTATAAAGCACTATAGTATCTTTTCAGTGAGAATAGTGGGTCAACGAGTTTAACTGAACTGCAAAGCCTAAAAGATGTACTAGGTGAGTCAAGGCGACTAACTCCTGAACTACACTCTAAAGCTGTTATAAACGTTTAAGATGAAACAAGCGAATGTAAACAAATTCCACGTTTCACGTAGTCTTAGTGATTAAGTAACTATTAACTGGAAAGCAGTCCTGGAGGTGCCTGTCTGGCAAGCACAGACTGCTGTCTATAAGGTGGATGGTTCAAATCCACCAGCCACCCCATGGGAGGAGGACGACGAGGTGATCTGCGTCTGTGAAGACTTACAGCCCCATAAACCCTCGATGGGTCACTATGGGTTGGAATGGTTCCATGGCAGTGAGTTTAGGTTTGGAGAAACGGGGTGGCTATGTCAAGTCATTAGATCATTGTATACACACACACCCTTATAGCCCAAGCCCACTACTATCAAACTGATTCCAACTCATAGCGACCCTATAGAACCGAACAGATCTGCCCCATACAGTTTCCAAGGCTGTGAATCTTTACAGAAATAGATTGCCACATCTTTCTCTCTCAGAGAAGCTGATTGATTCAAACCACTAGCCTTTTGGTTATCAATGGAGCACTTACCATGACACCAAGCTCCTCAAGGAGCCCAGCCTGGGGCTGGTGAGTTGATCCCAACTCACTGTGACCCTACAAGACAGGGGGGATCCAGGATAATCATCCTCACAGAAGCAGCCTCTCCCCACTTTCTTCCTCGGAGCTGCTGGTGGGTTTGAACCACCCACCTTTCGGTTGGCAACTGAGTACTTTAACCACCAAGCCACGTGGGATGCTTACACGCTTATACTGTATCTTTTGCATAGCTCAACTTAAGAAACTAACACGCACAGGGATTGCACAGATTGAAAAAAAAATCATATAGCGTGCATTATTTGCATACAAACACAGTACACACACATAAAATGCACAGACTCGGAAGCTCACAGCTCAAAGGAGTCATTTTAAATGTGAATCCTGGGGGAAATAGATCTATGTACACATATTTATAGATTGAGTATTAAGAAAACAGATGGACAGTGGGCCCCTGCACAAGTACTCCCCCAACACAAGAACATTTTATTCTAACAATTCGGCAGTCTGAGATGCTCACCTGCCTGGCACGATCCTTGAAGACAATGGGTGCACAAGAAAATGTGGTGAAGAAAGCAGATGGTGCTTGGCTACCAAAAGATATAACACCTGAAGTCACTGAAGACAATGGGTGCACAAGCAAGTGTGTTGAAGAAAGCTGATGGTGCCCGGCTACCAAAAGATATAGCACCTGAAGTCTTAAAGAACTGAAGATAAACAAGCAGCCATCTAGCTGAGAGACAAGAAAACCCACACAGAAGACGCACACCAGCCTGCCCCTATCGATCGCTGAGGACAAAGGGGGCGCATTAGCAAAGATGGTGAAGAAAGCAGATGGTGCCTGGCTATCAAATGATACAGCATCTGGGGTCTTAAAGGCTTGAAGACAAACAGGTGGCCATCTAGCTAAGAAACAACAAAACCCACAAGGAAGAAGCACACCAGCCTACCCCGACACGAATGCTGAAGACAAAGCGGGTACATAAGCAAATGCGGTGAAGAAAGCTGATGGTGCCAAGCTGTCAAATTACACAGAATCTGGGGTCCCACTTGCTGGACGATAAACAAGGGGCCATCTAACTGAGAAACAACAAAGTCCACATGGAAGAAGCACACCAGCCTATAAAATGACAAGGTGGCGAAGGGGTCAGGTATCAAGTATCAAAGACCAAAAACAGAAAGAAAGTATAACATTGTGAATGAGGGGGAGTGCAGAGTGGGGACCCAGGGCCCATCCAGGGGAAATTGGACATCCCCTTGCAGAAGGGCTGCAGGGAGGAGATGAGCCAATCAGAATGCAGTGTAGCAACGATGAAATATGCAATTTTCCTCTAGTTCTTAAATGCGTCCTCCACCCCACTACCATGATCCCAATTCTACCTTACATATCCGGCTGGACCGGAGGATGTACACTGGGACAGATAGAAACTGGAAATACAGTGAACCCAGGACAGATGAACCCCCCAGGACCAGTGGAGAGAGTGGCAATATCAGGAGGGTGTAGGGAAGGTGAGGGAGAAAGAGGGAACAGATGACAAGATCTACATATGGCCTCCTCCCCTGGGGGACGGACAGTGGGTGAGGGAGACGTTGGATGGGGTAAGATATGATAAAATAGTAATAATTTATAAATTATCAAGGGTTCAGGGGGAGGGGCAGTGGGGAGGGAAGGGGGCAAATGAGGAGCTGACACCAAGGGCTCAAGTGGAAAGCGGGTGTTGTGAGAATGATGAAGTCAACATATGTACTAATGTGCTAGACACAAATGATGTATGTTTGTGATGAGTTGTATGAGCCTCTAATAAAATGATTATAAAAAAAACTCTGTGATTTAGGAAAATAAATATTTGAATTCCATTTAAAAAATGCGAATCCTCTCCTGGTATTACCTTGCTTGTGTTTTCACCATTTCGTTCATACTGATTTCGTTGTTGAATTTTCTCAGCAATCTGTTGGGCAATTTGACAAGTAGAATCGTATGTGGCAAACCTGCAGAACAATTGGACATGGGAAAAAATGTTTAAGGATCTTCACATGCAAAAGAAATCTATATTACCTACGTTTGAGTTTCAGATTCAAGTCCAAATGTGAACTTTTGAAGTAGACACTATCAGTTTTGAGAGTGAGGACAAGCGGGCAAAGCATGCACAGAGTGGAGATTACTCTTTGCCAGACACTCTTCCGGTGCTTCATCAGTAATGACTCCGTTCACACAGAGAGCACGAGGTGGGTACCAAGCCAGCTCCAACTGCACGAGGAGTAAGAGGTGGTTCAAAGAGGTACCAAGTGGAACTGCCAGATTCCAACCAAGGAGGTCAGATCCCAGAGACTGTTAGCCTGTTTATGACAAGGCATTTGGCCTCAATCAACATTGATGGGGGCTTCCTCTAAACTGAGCATGGTTCCCAGCACTGAAGAAAAGAGTGGTAAGCAAAGCGGACCGGGTCCCTGCTTCCAGGGAGCTGACGTGTCAGTGAAGGGTGAAAGGCAGAAAACCAATCAATGGACAGAGTGTCAGGTGTGGTTATGTGCTGAAAATAAATACATAGATAGATAGATAGGTAAATAAATAAATAAATGAATGAATGAATGAATAAATAAATAAAGGGACAAGAAAGAGGGACAAAGGAGGTGTTATTTAAGGTCAGGGGGAGGAAGTTTGTCATGAGGTGGGGAGGGATGAGTTTACAGCACAGGAATGGCAAGTATTATTTATCCCAAAACAAATACTCTGGGGACCAAGGGCGCATCTACCTGACACCAAAGTTACCCAGAAGGCCCTACAAAGACTTACTGAGCTCCCACCATAGTGGGACTTTCTGGACTCACTATGAATTCCCCTTAGTGCTGGTTTTGTTGCAGCATTTTTACTTAATCTGTCCTATTTAGAAAGGAGCCTATGGTGATGGGCCATTGGTTAAGCTTGGGTCACTCATCATAAAGTCAGCAGTTCAAACCCACCAGCCGCCCCTCCAGAGAAAGATGAAGCTGTCGTCCCAGTAAGGATTTGGAGCCTCGGAAACCCTACATAGGATCTCTCTGAGTCAGAATCGACTGCATAGCAGTGGGTTTGGTGATCTGGGTCCTACTGAGGAAAGACACACACCATAGTGTGCATATGCATTCCATCTCTCTACCAGACTGTCCACTCCTAGGGCAGGAGCTGCGCTGTCCTCGTAGTTGCTTGAAAAAATCATCTGTTTTCAAACAGCTCCAACTCCCGCGTATCACTTTCACAATGAACTCGTACATATTACTTGCACACTGATCTTTCTTGTAAATCAAAACCATCTCCAATTGGCTAACAGCTGAGCCCCTGACCTGGGCCAGGTGCCAGGCTGCCCTTTACATTTTAGACGTCACAGAGAGTCTGTTGACAGCTGCCATCAAGTCAATTCCAACTCATGGCAACTCGTGGGGATCCCGTGTGCGCAGAGGAGGGCTGCTCCTTAGGGTTCCAACAAGCAGATCCACGGTGCCTCTGGGTGTATTCAAACCATCCACCTTTCAGTCTGCAGTCAGGTTGCTTAAATATCTGCGCCACCTAGGGACTCCATGATGTGGGTGCTTTTACTATCCTTCGGGTTCATAATTAGCTTTCCCAGGTTTAACAAACTCAACTTTTATAAAAAACGTTTTCTCAGTTTTAAAGCCCATTTTAAATTCGCATTCTGACACCAGAGCTATATGTACCTTAACCACTCTGCTCTTAAGTAGCAGCATTCAGCTCCAGATAAATGAAGGGACTTAAAAAATGTGTGTGGATAAGTGGAATTCCGAGATAATAGAAGATTTAAATAAATGGTAAGATGTTCCACGTTCATGAATGGGAAGATTTAATAGTGTTAAGATGTTTATACTCTCCTAAGTGTTCTCTATAGTCAATATAATCCCAATAAAAAACACCAACCGCCTTCTTTACAGACATGGAAAAACCAACCCTTAACTATAGGAAATGGCAAGAGGCTCCTAATAGCTAAAGCAATGTTGAAAGAGAAGAAGAAAATAGGGGAGGACTCACTTCATGATCTCAAAGATCAGGTCTTTTGTGAAGATTTATAAGTAGTCACCTCATACCCACAAGGAACTCCGTGGACATCCCTTTGAATAAAACTGTTGTCAACAAGAATGTCTTCAGAGACACTGTACTTGAATCAAGGCCAGGTGGTAGCCCAAGGTTAAATTTGAGGAGAGGTACACTAACTAAGGTGACCAGATTTTAACATTGGTAAAGCGGGACACCATTGATAAAACTCCTATCCTGGTGAAATAGCCACATGGCAGCCGAAAACCGTACACCTTAGCATATCATGCATTCTTTCCAAAAATCGGGACTTTTTAAAAAATACCGCGGGACGCAGGAAAAATTGTTAAAAATCAGGACTGTCCCGCCAAAAGCAGGACTTAACAAGACACATAAAACAAGTGGTTCTTCCAGAAACTGCAGTGTTAGATCTTCATGGATTGAATCATTAAAAATATCCTGCCCCACCCCCCAAACAAGTGGGGAAAAAAGCTAATGATGAAGAATATCTTTGGAAACCATATAGCCATCAAGATTTTAATCATATATATATACACTTAACAAAAGACAAATAACCCAGTCAAAATAAACATTTCAGGGGGACAGTGGGCAAGATGGAGACTGAATATCAAGTACGCCAGGGGCTTGCTAGAATAGGTACAAAGGTAGTTTTCTCCCCAGTGTCTGTGCTAATTAATATTAGCTGTCAATGACACAATGCAGGGGTTGGAAAGAAATCAGGCACTCTATTAGACACCTATGGGAACGATCCAAACTGAGCATGCTCAGACACAAGCCCCCTAGGCCCAGGTAGGAGGTCCCCCTGGGTGCACAGATTAGGCCCAGTCACATGACATCACATAGGTGGGCTTACCCTCAGCCAATAAGATCGGCCAATACCTGCAGCCAGAGGGGTTCAACTCAGGCTGCAGCTTGCCAGTCTCTCTTACTCTGCCCTTGTCCAGCTGCAGACTACAAGCAGAGCGCGGGAATTTCTCCCCCGTGAGGGTGCACATGTGCCACCCGGGTCCTGGGGCCCGGCCTCCTCTTAGGCCTCTATCTTGGCCCCTGGGATTTCCTGGTGCCGCAAGCGTGACTTTGTGTCCTCTTCCTGTGTTTTTCCACGTGGTTTTCCTCTTCACGTGGTTTTCCAGCCATGAACCCCATGGTTTCTGCACAACCTTGTACACGTTCCTAAAACAGCGTGTGCTTTTGAGACTGTAAAACCTGAAACTTCCCTTTTCCTCAAAAGTCACTTGGCTTATAGACATGCTTCTGCCACATAATTTCTTTCCACGCCTCGAAGCAAGAACCATGGTTCCCCAATCCAGGAACCTAACAGGGAACCACACAGAAGAGTTAACTGACTGGAATGTGCTATACTTCCAGGCCACAGAATTTTCAGCATAAAAATAAGTGGAAACAATTTACTAAGAGAGCAACAACAACGTCTGCCTATTAGAATCTTTCTGGTCATTCTCCCACAGTATTTGTTGGCAGAACCCAGATTCCTGGGTTAGCAGAGAGGAATTAAAGGGGGGGGGGGGAGTGACAGGATGTAGTTATAAGGGATCAGCCCCGGGAGGATAAAAATAGAAACAGCTTTGGTCCTCCTTCCAAACCAGAAGCACCCAGGTAGAGACCCCACAGACCTGGATCCCCAATAATGTGGACAACACAGATGGCCAGGCCACATGGGGTGAATCAACAGGGCAGCCAAGAGCAGACTGGAGAACACAAGCCCAGTGAGCTCCAGCCCCACTCAAAAAATCGAATCCCCCTTATGTGAGGTGCTAAGCAACATAGCCCTCCCACCCCCCCAGAGTAAAACACCCCCAAAGCCTGAGACCTTAAAAAGCATGGTCACTCTGGGGTCTTTTTTTTTTTTTAAACTTCCCTAGATTGCCTCCATCACACACCTGGTTCATTAACAAAGTTTTAGCATAACAAAGCAGGGAGACACCAACAGGTTGTACAAGCAGCAAGTTTTACATGTTTAAGCAGGAGACAGAATCCTAGGGACCCTGAGGCCACCCACATCGCATATCTAGGTCGTACACCAAGCCTCTCACATAAGACACCAGGCCTCTGAGTAGGCCATTGCTTTAGTTTACCCTCCCAGGCTACCTAGGGAAGTGAGAGGAATAGACCACATTCCCCCACCCCCACCTGGTAACCTCCACCATCTGAAAAGGGCAAATCCATCCCCTCTGACCCCTCAAACCCAAGAGCTCTTTCTCTCAAGATGATTAAATCACAAAAATACAAGACTTGCAGCCATACCAGGCACCAAAATCATTCCCTAGCCTGAATCTCGAGCCCAACTCGTGCACCCTATAAGATCACAAGGTAGTAAAACATCGCACCACCAAACACTGTCCCCAACTGCGCAAGAGATCTCTGCCCCAAGCAGTCCTGCCGCCTCCCCACCCCAGGACAGATGTGGGACCCACTTGTGCTGGCACTGTTTTTGTCAGTGTTCTAACAGTTCTATACCCCCCCACTTTACAAAGGTGTTCATTGTTCTCATAATTCACCCCCAATCAGGACTTCCCCATCTGTGGGTATATGTAAGGGCCCAAAGGGAGGGGGAATATATGTTAGATTGCTAGTATATTATACTAGAAATATAATAAATAGATTCTATATAGAATAAAAACATTCTATTTCTAATATATGTATATGAGAAATAGAAAAACTAGCAACCCCACTAGAGAAACTCCAAACAGAAACACAAAGAATCAAACCCTAAAAATCACAGAATTAAACAACACTATAAAGGAACAGAACAGTGCTATAAGAGAACAGAGTAACAACTGAGGAGAAGAAACCCGAATTAGTGAACTAGAAGAACAGACAACAAAATATGCAAAAAAGACTGAGGGAAAGAAATGTGAGAACATTGTGGGACACAATTAAGAGGAACAACCTGCGTCTTACAGGGATTCCAGAAGCAGAAGAAGCAAAGAAATGCACACACAGTCCAAGAGCTCCTGAAAGAGAGCTTTCCTCAATGTCTAAAGGAGGAAAATATAGCTATTCTGCAGCCAAGAGGACCCCAGGCAAAAGGAAAACTGCCCGGCATATTGTAGTCAAGAGAGCTAACATCAATGACAAGGAAAAACATTCTAAAAACAGCCAGAGAAAAGAATATTAATTACACACAAAGGGTCAGCAATTAGAATAACCTTAGATTTATCAGCAGAAACCATGCAGGCAAAAAGACAGTGGAGTGATAAATACAGAATACTCGAGGAAAAAATTTGTAAACCTAGAATCTAGTATGCAGAAAAATTATCATCAAATATAATGGTGAAATAAAAGTATCAAGACAAGGAGAAACTAAAAGAATTCACAAAATCAAGAGCACCACAACAAAAAATATTCAATGAAGTGCTCAATGAATATTCAGTATCCAAATGACCAACAGCAACAACACACAAACCTGAAACCAACATATAATCCCTCACACAAAAAACACACACAGACCAACACCCAAAACAAAGAAGTAACACAGCATGAACCAAGAAACTAAACACAACACATGTATAAATCAAAATGGCTGTAACAAATATACACATATCAATAACTTCACTAAATGTCAATTCACTGAATGCACCGGTAAAGAAACAGAGGAGCAGAATGGATAAGAAAACGAAATCCGAGAGGGACATGTTGGATCACAGCACAATGGAGCAAATGAAGGGGGAGGAAGAGAGTGGAGCACATCCGGGCCCACCAAGCCTTGATGAAGAGATTCCCGCTCAGAGCAGCCAATTCACAGAGAAGACCATATGGCCAGCCGTACTATGAGACACGACATCCCTCACTGATGCATAACCCTACAGGAGACAACACTGGAAACACAGTGTGGGAATTCCGCCCGATCTGATCCCACCACACCGAGGCAAACACTAAGGGCATGGAACAGAACAGCAGGGGAACAGAGCAATGAAGTCCTCAGGGAATACCAAAAATAGACTTTGGGGCCAGGGCTTGGCACCCCATCAGAGTCGACCAGAAAACACTCCTAAAGGCCAAGAAACAGTCCTTGAATTAACTACAAGCTTTTCTTTCATGTTGTTTTGTTTTGTTTTTTTGTCATTGGCTTGTTTTATTGTTTTATTTTGTTGCTTGTTTTTGCTCTGTCTTGTTTTTGTGCATGTAATTATCTCTGCAGGTCTGTCTAAATAAGACAGGCTGGATGAACAATCAGGAGGAGAAAACAATGGGACCGACAGTTCTGGGGGGACATGGGAGAGGAGGAGGTGGGGGGAAAGGTAGTGGTGTTAACAAACCCAGGGACAAGG